GATGCCAAAAGTGCCTGTATAACCCTCTGGCCTATGAGGATACAAGATTATCTCCTGTTTGAATTTTTATCTGAATAAAGTCTTTAAAAAATTTTAAACACTTTGAAATGTTTAGCACAAGAGATTTCAGGCATAGAAGGAAAACTTTAAACAAGAAATAGAAATGGTTGACATAAATTTTACTGTCCATGTTTCAAAGACAAAAAATTAAAATCTTGAAATATAATTTATAATTTCTGTGCTACCTCCAACTATGGGGAGCCAGATTGAATAAGGGCTAACTGAACTTTTCTGTGAGCACTAAAGGGAAAGGTGCTGGGAGAGTGTGCTGACACGCTGCAGGGAAAACTAATACAGCTGAGTTCGTTTTTTTTTTTTTTGTTTTTTTTTTTTATTTTTTTGTTTTTTTTTTTAAACAATTTTATTGAGAAACAAATAGCATTGAGACAGTTTCAAAACCAATTAATAGGACAGCTTCAATAATAAATACATTGCACATTGTTGCCTCAGTGGTTATTCAGTATACAAGATGCAGATATGACATTTCATCCACAAACACTATTAGAACAAATCTTATTCATTGAATTAAGAGAATGTAGTTGTATGTCTATCCTAACTATTTTGAATATACAGATACAAAATGGTCATTCATTTGTATCCCTTTTGTTTAGTTTTGTCAGAGAAGGGTATTCCATTGTCATTTAAATATTGTAGATGTGTGAATTCAGCAAAATATTCTAATACAGTCCAGTAGTCCATAATAGTAGTGGGTCATCTGCAGAAGTGGCAATGTCAAAAGTTGTTGACCTGAGCCCTTTACAGTCCAGCATACCAACTTGGCTTCACCCCTTATACCTTGTTTTTGTACCTTTTTTGCTGGATGGTTAAGACCAAGATAAAGCAAGACCTATATAACAAGAAATGTAACTTTTGTATCTGATAAGGTCAGTCAAGTCCCCTGAGGATTTATCCTGAAATCTTGTACCACATTTTGTAGATCCTTTGTCAGTGTCAGCCATGTGGATGAGCCACAGCCATTGCTTGACCAATTTTGAGCTCCTGTTTTTTGCTTGGATATATGCCATGGATGGTAGGAGAAAAATGAATCGTGTTTTATTGCCTATGCCCATGTCTAAATGGATAAAGTCAATAAATCTTTGTCCAAATACCATGTATTTCTTTTGGTTAGATTCATAGAATGTGTACTTTTAGATCAGAGAAAATTTAGAAGTGAATATTCTAAAAGCTTTTCATACAAGTGTTACATTGCTTCCCAAAATATCTATATGAGTTTTCACTGCTCCTGTTAATGTTTGAATGTGACTGTAACAGCCTCACTAGTATTGTTTAAAAAATGCCAATCTTATAGGTAAATAATTATATCTCATTGATTTCATATTCTTATTGAAACTCATACATTACAAACTTTCAATTAAGCATGCATATTTCTACTTTGACACAATATGCTTATATGCCTTGCTTGCTTTTATATTCAGGTATTAGATTTCCTACTGATTCATATGAAATCAATGCTACACTTACTGTAACATCTTTCCCCAGTTTGACCTTTGCCTTAAATCTAGACACTCTGTGATTTCTTACAGAGAAAGTCACTGAAATTTTCTCTTGAGAGTTTTTCTTTTAGAAGTTGTGCCCACAGCCCTTGCTGGCCTTTGGATCTGGGGTTTACCTTCCAGGCTGGACCCCCAACTCAGTGTCACAGGGAAGTGATATGCAACCATGGCTCCTTCCCTTATCCCTGTGCTTTCCAGCCACTGGGGGAGTGCTCTTGCTCTCCCACTGCTCCTGCTAAGCTATCCTTCCTCACCACAGGCCCAAGAACAGCAGGCTTAGCACATCTTGGACTGGAACTTCCAAAATTGTCAGCCAAAAGTAACTCTTTATATGTTGATCAAGTGTGGTATTTGTTTTAGTGATGGTAGTCCTTGACCACTCTAAAATGATTCTAATGCTACTATGCTTTTAGTTTTAAAGAAAAATGCCATTTTTACCTTTAGCTACTTAATTTATATGGAAGTATTTTTATCTTGATATAAGGTGAGAGACTAAATAATTTTTTCCTTGTTAATCAGTCAACATTATTAAATAATTCGTTTGGATTATTGCAAGCCTCCCTCTGTTGTGCCTCTCTGCCAAACTGTTCTTATCTAGTCTGGACTCCTGTTTTTTTTCCAAATAAATTTAAGAGTCATGTTCTCAGTTTCCAAAACACATTAGTGATTTTTTGTTTTTGGTTCTGGGGATTGAACTCAAGACCCTGCGCTTGACAGGCAAGCACTTATTACTGAGCTATCTCCCCAGGCCCCATTAGAGATTTTTCTTAGAACTGCATCAAATCAATATTTTAACTTGAGGAAGACATAGATGTATGATTTATGAGTGTTTATTTGCCTATTATAAATAAAAGGCTTGAATAAAATTTTATCTCTACAAAAAAGAATTATAATATCTCCATATGTTTATATCTACTTACATTTAGTATTTTTTGGAATCTGGTCTCTTATTATTAGTTATTTTATATTTATTTTCTTTTCATGTATTGATTTCATAGTTTGTCTGCCTACTTTTGAATGTTCTTATTAGTTCTTAATGTTTTTCAGAATACTTTCTTGGATATTTTTAGAATAAACTGTCAGTTGCAAAAATGACTATATTTTTCTCTGCTCTAATAGTTACTTCTCATACATTGTAAGGCATTTTGTATTGTTAAAATTTTCAAGCATTAATAATAGGTATGGTAGGAATATAATTATCTTGTTTCTGACTTTAATGTAAAACAGTGTATATCCCTAAACTAACCTTCATTGCAGTGTCATAAAGGTGTTCTGCCTTTTTTTTTTCCTCTCTTTTTTGGTGGAACCAGGGATTGAACTAAGGCCCTCATGCTTGCCAGGGAAGTGCTTATTCCACTGAGCCATCTCCTCGGCCCCTTATTCTGCTGTTTTTGATGCAGTGAAATAATCACTGAAATATTGGATTGTGCTTACTGAATTTTTTTCCATCCTCATTCTGAGAAGGGAGCCCAGCTATTTAAGCTCTTTCTTTTTTCTTTTTCTTTTTAAGAGAGGATTGTGTGACAGGGCTGAATGTAGAAGTCATCTTCCTGATTTTAATTTCTCCCAAGTTACTGCAGATAGAAAAATGTCATGTAATAAGACAAGAGAAAGGAATCATTATAGGCATACTTTTTGAAACTATGTTTTACTGTTATTTTTACTTTTTATCTTTAAAATAAAAAAAAGAAAAATAGGTTTTCTACACAGGTCCTTGGTCTCTTAAGAAATGATCAGGTGGAGATGGAGAGATAGCTCAGTGACATAAGTATTTGCCTAGCAATTTCAGGGTCCTAAGTTCAATTCCTGGTACTGCATGCCACACCAGCCCCAAAATCAGGCCTGGTGGTGAATGCCTATAATCCCAGCACTGGAAAGGCTGAGAAGGAAGGATCGCTATGAGAACTAACTGCATAACAAGATCCTGTATCTAAAATCAAAAAGAAAAGAAAAAAGAAATGATCATGTGATATACATTTTGATGTTAAAGTCTCTTATAATTCATACTGTCCCAAAGCCCAGTTTACTTCCTAACTACACTATGTATGTTCCTGTATTGGAAATGTTTTAGTAAAGTTACTTGTAGGTGTGTATCCACAGAAAAAATTGAGGGCAATAGGGAAAATGTCCAGTCAAAGGCAAGGACTGGACATCCACATCTCAAATACTATCCCTCACTTACATGTCCCACTGCCCCTACCATACAGATTGTTTCAGCTCCAGGAAAACATAGCAGCTTGGACCTTAGTGGAGTTCTTGCACCTTGTGCTCATCTATTTCCAACTTATCACATAACTCAGTTGTTAATTTAAATGCCAGCTCACTCTTGCCCATCTGGCTAATAACTTCTTACAGGCCATGGCTGTGCTTAATTCATTTTCAGATCTCTAGGATTCTAACCCAGAATAGAGCAATAATAGACTGAGTGTTCAGAAGGTTACTGAAAGAAAAATATGGTATTAGAACAACCCAAAAAGATGCAGAGGACATCAAGGCTCTATGGGGAGCTCCAAGAGAGCCAAGAAGCAAAGAGTCCAAAGCAGGGCTGGGAGAGCTCAAGAAAACCACCCAACATGGTACACAGTAGTTCTGTATAATCATATAATATTTATCCCTATAGAATAATTTGAGGTTAAAACAGAGAAAATCAAAATTTTACTGAGAGACCAAAACCACTTCATTTTGGAAGGAATCAGACTGCTGTCATTGCAGCCTCTTCAGCTCCTTTCTCTTAAAAGTCTTATGGGCTTTATGTTTTCTTTTTTAGAACAAGCAACTCTGGGCTGGTAAGGCCAATTACCATAACTTCCCTAGACTGTAAGAAAGTGGTCTTTCTTGTCAAGTCAAACAAAAGGGTCCTTCCTAGGCCTCTGTGCAGCTCCTTTTATTCTCTTTTCTAACAATTATATCTTTAGCTTTTGTGCTGAATGCTTACCCAAGATCTTAGTACAAAATAGATCCATATGGATACAAATAAAGGATACATATTCTGATTTGCCATTGATATAACACAGCATCTAAGATATCCTCCTGTTCAATTGAAAGACTACACCTGAAAACATGTTCAGGGTGGTTGGATGAAATTATCTGTGGAACAAACTCACTCTCAGTCTATAATTAATTAGGTCATAGATGAAATGAAAACACCTAAATTAAACCAAAGACAATCATAGTTAATGAATTCATTTTAAAGCTATGAAATTCTATCTCATTGTTTGATTGATATTTTAAAAAATTACGAAAGAGTGTTAGCAACTTTCCACTGGGATATTGTTAACTAAAAAATGTACATGAATTTGAAGCCTACAATTTCAGTACTACAAAATAAGATTTAAGTAAATATATATATATATATATCCGACTAAAATTGTACTAGCTATACTAAAGTCAATGACAAAAATTAACAGGCTGTATTCCTTTTTTTACCTCTCTGAGGACTTCCTCTAAGATTTCAGCATGTTTTACATAAGGCTGCTCAAAGTTCATATCCTTTGTCATTTTTAGAGTCTCCTCAAGGATGGAAATAACTTCTGGATGATCTGCAGTTACTTCTTCTATTAAGTCTTCTGTTGAGACTAAAGTAAAATATGTGAATAAGTCAACAGCACTAAAACACTTAATGGACAATGCTATTTACAATAGAACATGATTGTTAATACCTGACCCAAAAAAATCATTATCTTTGTGATCCTGAAGCACATGCTAAAAGGAGGAAAGAGTAAGACTAGGGAAAGGAAAGACAGTCAGGAATCAAAGTTACAGGCTAGCAGAGCAGTGGCTGAAGCCAGGGCATCCAAATGAATGTGCTTGAGGCAACACCAAAGTCAGGTCAGACAAGAGTCAAAACCAAGGGAGCCCAGAAGAGATATGCATAGGGAAAAGAGGATTCTGGGATCAAGTGAAGCACACACATGCAAGGAGTGAGGTAGACACCAGTGGCCCTTCCTGCTAGGACATGAGACTTGATGGCACAGGACAGAGCAGGAGGTAGGTGGGCAGGAGGCAGGTGAGAACGAAGGGGCTGGCAAACATGGCACACTTAGTTCTTGCTCTGTTTCTTGAACAGCCAAGGTGACACTTCAGCTGCACTGTAACTTGAAGGTTTATTATTCTTCCAGTGAGACTGGAACTCAACAGCCCCATGGCCTTGACTCTGCATGACCAGTGGATAGATCTTCACTCAGTATCTATTCTTTTCTTCCTTGGTAAGAGAACCTTGATTTTGTCAAGGCCAACAATATTCCCAGTTGAAAAATTACATCTCCCAACTTAGAAGCTTAGATGGCCAATAAGATGTAAGCACATTTTTTTAAAAACAAATTTTCTGTCAGCTCTTTAGAGAATAAGTTTAGTAGAATGCTACATTATGTGCCTTGCTTATGACTTTCATCTCAGGTGCACTGGGATGATGACTGGAGTTACAGCGGCCATCCTCTGGGTCAGTGTACAGCCACCTACCAAGGGTGGCAGAGCATAGAAAGGAACTACCTATCTTTCCAAATTCTTTCCACCAAAACAGATGTCTTATTTGCCCTATGTGCCATAGGTCTATAGTACTTTCACAATGGAGTAAGCTAGAATTAATAATGATTTAAAATAAATCTCATATTTCTCCTTCTAAACACCCAGGCAGATAAATGTTTTTTTTTTCATAGTAACAATTTAAGAGAACAAAACTGCTCAAATATTAGTTTATCTTTATCTGAAGATAATCTTAGATCTTAACTAAAATCTTGAGAACTCCCTTTAAATGTGGATGCTTCACAGATTTCTTTTTTATTAATGCATACAACAATATTAACAACCAAAAAAATGTAGATGAGTTCTCAAAGACTGTCAAATGAACTCAGGGATGCAGGACTCAGTGCCCCAATTTTTACTTCAAATACTATTTTGTCTGCTAGCAGAGAAAATAAAGACAATAACCTAGCAAAGCTAGGAGGTTATTACAATGCCAGTAGATCTATACTGAAAGAAAAACTAAGCATGCTGCCCTTTCTGAAGTAACTAACGATGTTTGTTTACCTCAGAGCTCTGGGGCAGACCAGGTGCTTGGGTTCTGTGGTGTACTGGCTACACCAAGAAGTTCTAGGCAGGTAGGATACTGTACCTGCTTGTGACTGGGACAGACTTGAAGGGAAGCTTCTCTCTGTAGGCCACACTGCAAATTCCACTGAAACAGCAGAGACTGGCTCCCAGCTGCCACTTGAGGGCCAGCATCTGAATGCATGGGTCTGCACTCTGAAGGCTGCATATGCACATGTGAGTATGCATGTGTATGTGGGGGGAAGTAGGATGACATGCATAAGCTTCTGACACTGGCCAATTAAATTTCCTGTAGGCTTGAAATACATAGTAGGAAAAGTACATATGCCTGAAATAGGAGGAACCAAACCAAACAACTAGCTCTACATTCTTTAATGAAACAAGTTATACATGTAAACACTGGCTATAGAAAGGTTGGCCTATTAAAGAAAAGAGTGTAAGAATACATACACATGTGAAGATGTGCACATGCCAATCAAATATAAAATAATTAAAAATAGGATCCATTTCATGGGATCAGAAGTTCATTTTATTACCATCTTTATCAGCATTAGCAGCTTGATAATCAAGAGCATCTTCTGACTTTGTTCTGTTTTCTTTTGTGTCCTCTAGAGAGCTGTCTCTTTGGGCTTCTTGAGAGTGTGCTGCAATAAAAGGAAACACAATTTTTCAGGTGCCTACTTGTACTAGGAAATCTTCAGTTATCAATGTATTTCTTTACCTCCTTCATCAATTGAAGAACGTAATTCTCCCGAGCTTTTAGACACATACTCTGGGAACTCTTCAAATACTTTCTCTCCAAATTGTTTTTGAAGTTCTCTTAAAGTTGTCTCAGCTGAAAGATAATAATTGTCTATGTCAACAAAAGGTAGTTGGGGATAGGGAAGCAGGTGTGATTCTCTTCTGATCCAGGTCTCAGTCTAATGTCTCCTTTTATTTATTTATTTATTTATTTATTTATTTATTTATTTATTTATTTTTTGCAGAACTGGGGATTGAACTCAGGCCCTTGTGCTTGCCAGGCAAGTGCTTATTCTACTGAGCCATCTCCCTGGCCCTAATGTCTCCTCAGAGAGGTGATTTCAATACTCTAGCAACCCTGCTTTGGTCATTGCCCCTCTGTTACCATGTTATCTTTTTATATATGTTCACTGACACTTTTTTAACCCCCATAGCCGCTTATGAACATGAAATACCCCAAGGACAGGAGCTTCAGGTATCTTGTCCACCTCTGCCTCTTAATGTAAATAGCCATGTCTAATACAATGTAGGTCCTAAGCATTTGTTGAATGAATTAATGAGCTCATTTTGTTAACAGCTCTAGAAATCCATCTTAGCATTCTGAGTCAAAAGTTCTCCAGCTTCAGTTTACAAGCTGTCTGTATTTTTAAAATTTTAATTTTAATTTTGAAGATAATATACTGAAACTGTAACTTCATTCTAGATCATCTGAATGATCATTTGGATGATATAAAATCTCAGTGCTGGTCTTTTATTTCACTTTTTGTAACGTGTTGAATTCTTTTACCTGTCTGTAGGTAAGAAGAAGAAAGGCAGAACTGCAACTTGAAGAAAGGCAAGATTGTTAGAAAAATTTAAAACCATGTTTTAAGGGGAAATTTATATTACCAGATTTGAAGTATATAATGCACCCTTTACCACAAAAAACTCAGTATTACCATACAGGAAGTTTTTATTTCCTTGCTATTTAAATAGTTTCAACTTCCTAGTTTAGGTAAAAAGTTAAAATATCACATTTCCTGAGAACAAAATCTGACTGATAGCACTTAAAAACAGGGGAAATTAAGCAAATCACACAATGAATATGATTATACAAAGCAAACCACTTTCCACTGCACTGGAAAGAACTACTTGGAACATATTATAGAAAATTATTTGCTTCAGGAGTAACAAAGAGACAAAACATGCAGAAATAAACTTGTCAAGAAAAGTGAAGATAATACACACAGTTACAAAGTGTATGGGACAATACGAAAATCAGATTGAAAAATACATTTTTTGTGCCTGCATGTAAAAATTTAATAGTAAAGATGAAATTCCTGCCAAATTACAGCATAGTGTTAAGACCATCTGCCCACTTGGACTTGTAGGACCTGACAAAATTTTATAAGCAACCCCACATCCAGTCTTCCTGTTCATAGCATGTAACAAGTATTCATTTGATGGAACAAATGAAAGAAAGAAAAATTTAAAACAATTATTTAAGGGGAAATTTATATCACCAGATATAAAGTATATAATTTCATATTAAAGGGAGTAACAATGAAAAACCAGTCAAATGAAGTTCAGAGGTTTAAACACCGACACTCAAATTTTTGGGGGTGTGGTATCAGGAATCAAACTGAAGACCTGAGTTTACTAGGTAGTTACTATACTGCTGAGCTATCCCCAGTCCTACCCTCTAATTTAGTAGTAAGATAAAGTTGGCATTTGAAATCTCCAATAAAACAGGGATAATTTGGTAAATGTTTTTATAATTACCTTGTAATTTTGTAATCATATTATAAATTTAGATAGCTACATAATGCAAAATTTATTACAATGTTTACATCTTAATTAGAAAGAAGCATTTTATTTATTTAATGTATTTGGTACAGGGTCTCATTACACAGCTGGGACTCGTAGTGATCCTTGTTTTCAGCCTCCCTAGTGCTGGGATTCCAGGCATGCACCATCATCCCTGGTCTCTGTGGCAGGCTCAGCATACCTGAGGGCAGGGCCAGCACAGCATGTGGTGCCAGGGATCAAACCCTGGTCCATATGCTTGCCTAAGCAGGTACTTAGTCTGCTGAGCTATCTTGCTGGCCCTACAATCATTATTTTTAATGAGTGAATAGGATCCTGCCTCACTCAGCTTCTCAGAGAAAAATGAACAGGGATGTAGTTCAATACAAAGGACCTTGGATTTATGCAAAATAAAACAAAAAAGTGAATTTAATTTTGGTTCATAATTTATCATTAAAACATGAATAGAAATAAAAAGACAAGTGGAGAAAACTAAATTTCGGACAGGCTATCTCTAGAGAGCAAGGATGTGCACATTCTCCACCTGAGAGCCACGGAGGAGAAGAGCACACACAATGACTTATATCCCAACTCCTTGCTCTCTGTCAAATGTAGCAACTTACAAAACTTTCCATGAACCTCAGTCTATTCATCCACTAGAAAACATAAAAGACATACAGCCTGTTATGAGGACTAACTAGGATAACACATGCAGTAGGCATAGTACTGGCATGTCATAAGTAAGTGCTCATATTTAGATATTACTGCTTTCATAGCAAGAAACATTTTACTCAGAAAAAAAATTAGAATTGAGACACAAAGAGTTACATTAGGTGTTTCTGGGAAACCCAAACAATGGTAACTGAATGTAGGCTAAGGGTGTACTGTTAAGAGGAGAGATTTAGATAAGTTACATTCATGAGGTCTAATGTCACTAGTGGGAAGCATGCCAACTAGAGACACAAATTCTACCGAAAACAATCCATGAATTTCAAAAGTAGTCAAGAAATGAGAATTCTCATTTTTTCCTGGAGAAGAAAAAGAAAAACAAATACTATAAACCCGTAGGCCAATTCTAAAAACAATGTGGTCAACATTCACTGAGATAAGAGAGCATGGAGACTTTGGAAACAAGTTAAGCCTCATCTTTGCTGCCACTGGGGCAATTTTCAGAGTCATTTAACTTCCATAGGCAACTGTTTTTTGTCTGTAAAATTAGAACTGTGTTAACTGATCTCTAAGGCTTTGTCTGTTTTCACCACTATGGCTTCCTGGATTTGAGATTAATATTACCCAAATATAAAGACTTAATTATAAGCAGGGATAACATTTAAGCCTGAAACAAATTCCCCAAGATTTAGGCAGATTCTTATTGTTATAATTAGCAGTGTAGATAAAAGTGAAAACAAAATGACCAGTACAGTACATAGACTCAAAAAAAGTTTAAAAAAATGCAAATTTAGAAGTTCCTTCTAATTCCTTTCCTTAGAGATCTGTAATTGATTTTTTTTGCTTATGAATCAATTTATACATATCCATTCCTTAAGCCATTGATTAAGGGACTGCAAACTTACAAGGTGTCAAGGGTACCATATAAGCAAAATAAGTTCTTGCCTTTAAGTAGCCAGACATAATAGTATACCAAAATTTAAAACATGTATTTTAAAAACTGGTTCACCTTGTCTTTTAGCTTGTAGATCTGCAAGAAGCTTTTCTTCCACAACTTTAATAGCTGCTTCAGTGGCCTGAGCTATAGTATTTTTCACTAATGCCTCACGGGCCTCATCAAAACATGGTTGAACAAGTTTGGCATAGTCAACTACCTGCAAAGAATATGTGATAAAATCAATACATGCAAAAAGTACTGTGAGTACTGGACATATCATTCATCTATTAGTCTGCCTATTCACCTATTTTCTTTTCTTTTCTTTTTTTTTTTTTTTTCCAGAACCGAGGATTGAACTCAGGCCCTTGTGCTTGCCAGAGAAGTACTTATTGCACTAAGCCATCTCCCCTATTTTCTGTACTTCTGTATGTCAGATATATTGATACTGCTTGAAGTATCTGGAGTTATATTCAAAATCCACCAACTTTTAAGGTTTTTTCAATAAAAATTGAGCTATTTTTCATATAACAATATAATAT